TGACACCAACAGCTGCAGTGGCACCGCCCTTCACAGCTACATCATCGCATATTCTGGGCTTCAGGGTGACCATTACACATGATTTACTCTTCATCCCGGGCTGCTGTCTGTCTCCCAGCAGAGCCCAGTCAGCTGGGTCGCGGCTGGGTCCCTGCACCCAGCATTTGCTCGCTGTTCCTGATCTGCTAGTTCGCCGGCACTGCCATGGAGCCCAGAGCACCGAGCCCAGAGCGTGGCAGGGGAACAAGACACATTCCTGCCTTCAGTGTTTTCTTTCCTTTTTTTTTTTTTTTTTTTTTTTTGCTGGAGGAAGGAAAACAACAGACTCCGCCTGGCATTTCCCCCTGTATCCGCTTGTTTTAAAGTTCAACCCCAAAGGAGAGAGAATAGCATTCGTGTTTAACAGATGGGGGAAACTAAGGCTGGGAGAGGGGCAGGAGAGAGGCAGGAATTCAAAGTGGTGCTTGCAACTGACCAGAGGCTCTGAACAGGGAAGCAGAAGTTTCCTTTACAGCTCTCCAAACACGCGTTATTGTACCTCTCTCAAATGTCCCTGCCCCCACCCCCAAAACAACGAACTTCTATCCATCTGCTATGACCCCAGCTACAATACCCATCAGAGTATCTTCCTGATACACTGGCCAGGGAAACTGTCTTTCTCCATTCCAAGGGCTCCCTCTGCCTGCTCACCCTACTTAACACAGTGGACTGGGTGCATCAAGTCGGCCTCAGTTCTCCTCCTTTCCTCTGGAACTCCCGGAGGTCCAACGAGGCTGCCCAGTTAAAGCTTTGGCGACTGGCTTTAGTTATTGTTTTGGGGTCACACCCGGCCATGCTCAGGGCTGATTCCTGACTCTGCACTCAGGCACTCCAGGAGTTCTGGAGGGGCTCAGGGGTCTCCCTGGGGTGCTGGGGATCGAACCCGCTCAGCCACGTGTAAGGCAGCACCCTCCCGGCCGTGCTATCACTCCAGTCCACAGATTTGGTGTCTGGGATTCCAGGTTGCCAGCCAGCACCGGGTACTGGGACTATTCCTTGAGTGACTCATTTTTTCTCCCTTTGCTCCACATCACATCGCCCCACCCCCATTCACCCCTCCCCCAAGGACCCATAATCCTCTGCGCTCCTGCAATAGGTCACTTGTCTTTCAGGTCAGTCCTTGGGAGGCCGGCTTGGACCAAGCCCCGGTGCAGCCTGGGACTTGTAGTCCACCGCTTGGCCCAAGGCCGAGGTGCATCCTGGGAGCTGTAGTCCACACAGCCTCAGGCTGACTTTTTTGACAGGTCACGGGAATGATCATCTTTGGGCTCAGGATGTATCAGACAGGAGAGAGCCAGTGAGGGTAATGAGGGGGAGCATCTTTCCACCCAAAGGCGTGCAAAAAAGCGATCTCCGCCTGCCAATCACTGGCCTGGCACATTCTGATGCCTGTCACTTCATCTAGAATCTGTCTTTGGGATGAAGACCGCGACAATCAGAGGGAATAGGGCCAGAGCAATAAGGCAGCAGAGAGGACGCTGGCCTTGCAAGCAGCCGACTCGGGTTCGAGCCCTGGCATCCCCTAGGATCCCCCTGAGCCCCGCCAGGAGTGATTTCTGAGTGCAGAGCCAGGAGGAACCCTTATCATCACTAGGTGTGCCCCCAAACCCCAAAATAAGCAAAAAATGAAACTAAAAGGGAAGGACGGGTCTCTCATCAGCCGCAGGAAACCGAGGCTGGCTCCTGGATCATCCGAGCACAGAACATGGGCAGGTGGGGCTGCCGTGAGCGCTCAGATTCTCATGTCTTTTTCTTTTTTGGCTTTTGGGCCACATCCCGATGTGCTCAGGACTGACTCCTGGCTCTGCACTCAAGGATCACACTTCTGGCGAGGCTCAGGGACGCTAGGGGGTGCTGGGATCAAACCCGGGTTGGTCGCGTGCAAGGCTAGCGCCCTCCCTACTGTCACTCTGGCCCCCCAGATTCTAAAACTTTGAGGAGACTTATTACAGTCAAGCCCAATCCTTGCTGGGATCTTGTACCCTGAAAATTCGCAGTCCCTTGACTGGCTGAGAATTTCGGGGAGCACCCCAGGAAAGTCTCATCAGCCAGACACTGGTGCAGACCTGGAGGGGTGGCCCCCACCCCAACGCAGACTTTTTTCTCCAGGACAAAGGTTTCCCCCTTCCGCAGTTGCTACCCCCAGGCCCAGGAGCTGACTCCAGGCTCCCTTCACTCATCTCTGAGCATCTGGCAACCTGCCTCCGGGCTGCTCAAGGCCCCAAATGCTATTTATTCGGGGCCCCCACAAAATCCCCTCTCAACCTCCGCTAGTTCCTTATTGCTCGGGGGCGCTTTCTCCGTCTGGATTCAGTCTCTCTCTCTCTCTCTCTCTCTCTCTCTCTCTCTCTCTCTCTCTCTCTCTCTCTCTGTCTCTGTCTCTCCAGCCTCATAACTCATTGTTCACAGTCAAAACAGTCCTGGGATGGAGAAATGGCTCACCAGTTGAAGCACAGGCTTTGTCTAAGGAAAACCCTGGCTTTGACCCCTCAGAGTCCCCGAAATACTGCCGGGAGCACCCCTGGGCCTGCTGAGCCTAGAGTCCCAAGGAATGGCCCCAAACAACAAGAGTCCAGCCTTGCAGCTCCCTCTGCCTGAAATACCCAACTCCTCTCCTCCAGGCAAAACCCGCCAGGCCCCCTCCTGCAGGCAGTCTTCCCTGATTCCCGCAGACTCTTTCTGGATGGCAGAGCTGGGTGGGAGAGGGCTGGGCACACTGTACCGGCTCACACCCACCCCAGGACGCCTCCTTCCCAGGAGACAGACAGTGCTGGGCCGCCAGCATGTCCTGCAGACTCCGGGGACATCATTCATCTGTCCCGCTTGCTCATATCAGGGTCACCTTTGCAAGGACAGTGATCCATCTCCCCCTGGCCCCGCTTCAGGACCCCAGAGACTCTCCTGAGGGCCACAACGTGGTCCCTGAGGCAGAGAAACACCCTCCCTCCTGTCCCAATCTCCAGGGCCTGCAGCAGAGAGAAGTTTGAGCCTGCCGCCGTGACTCAATGCCTCTTTCCTCAGACCTCCTCACCTCTTCTGAGGTGTCAGCACCCCAAAGCCCTGGGAGAGCTCAGCCCCCACAAGGGGCCACCCAGAGACGCGAGATTTCCCCGTGAGGGCCCAGACCAGAGAGGGCAAGCAGCCTTTCTGAGGCCACACAGCCCAGTTTCTCCTCCTGGACTTTTTTTTTGCTTTTTGGGTCACACCCGGCAATGCTCAGGGCTTACTCCTGGCTCATGCACTCAGGAATTACTCCTGGCGGTGCTCGGGGGACCATATGGGATGCCGGGGATTGAACCCAGGTCAGCCGCGTGCAAGGCAAACGCCCTATCCACTGCGCTATGGCTCCAGCCGGGAACTTTTTTCTCTACATCCCCTGGCCCAGGGTCTGCCCTACCACCCACGCAGAAGGGCTGGTTTCCAGGGTGACTCTCGGGTGTGGGTCCGGATGTGGGACACTTCAAATGAGGGGACTCCTAACCCCCTTGGCAGAAGGCTCACACCAGAGGTCCCCCTGTCTGCTCTGGGGGCCAGCCTGGTTGTGGGTGGGATTTCTGCTAGACTCCCAGTCAGCCCTTATCTGAGGGCTGTCCCTGGCTTACCCTGATGCCTGGGGTATCAGGATCCCCCCCACTCTCTCTCCCTGGAGTTTCAGCAAGAGCTTCTAGAAATTTCCTCCTTGGAAGCAACCCTGAAGGTGGGAAGGGGGTGGAGAGGCGGGGTGGGGGGGGCACCTCCCAAACTTTGATTTTGGAGAGGGAGGGTGTGGACCTCCTGAGAAGCTGAGGGAACACAGAAGAGCAGGAAGCAAGGCGATTCTGTTCGTGGGTGCGGGGTCCCTCCTGCAGGGCCTCCTTCCGCTCACCCCCTTTGCTCGGTCAGCCCAAAAGCCTAGAGGGTCCCTTCCCCTTGCCCTGAGTTCCCCTCGGGTGGGGGTCTCAGGCGGAGGAGGTCAGAGAGCCCCAAGCCCAGCGCCTCCACGGGAGGGCCGGGCACCAAGAAGGGGGTTCCCCGAGGCAGCGCCCCCTTTCTGGAGGTGTCCCAAAGTTGAAGGGCGCAGGCACGCTGCGGGTGAGCGGGACAGTGGGACACGTGACCCCGCCGCGGGTCGGGGTGCGGGAACCAATCAGCGCCCGCAACAAGGGGCCACACTGGCACCCCCCCCCAACAGGCGCTCTCCAAGAGGCGCTTTCTTTGTCCCTTTGTCAGCTCTTGGGGGGCCGCACCCCCGGGGACCTCACTGCAGCATCGAGGGGCTCCAGACCGGCCGGCTCCGTGGCCCCCTCCGCACGTGGCCACATCCTGGGGCTTCCGTGGAAGGGGGCTGGGGGCGGCCTTGATGCGGAGGCTGCACTGGCCACGGGGCCGGCCGAGCCGGGCAGGGGACACCCCGGCAGCCCTGGGTCGCCCTGGACTTCGCGCCCAGGACCCCGCCCCCCGAGCCCCCCGTTTGCAGTCAAACACCCCGCTCGGGGGGACCGATCCCCCACCTGGGCCCAAATCCAGCTCCGGCGGCGGCGGCGCAGCCGCTAATCCCCATTATTCCGCCTTCTCCGCCCCCCCCCCCCACCAAATCTCCACCCGCTGCGGGGCCCACAGAACCCCTATTATAGCCGCGCATACAGGCCCCCAGTCAGAGGCCTGGCCCCCCAGCTGCAGTGCCGGAGCCACCCCCACCCCGCGCCTCCATCGGCGCCCAGGCCATCTCCCACCCCTCCGGGCTGCGGGCCCCGACGCCGCCCCGCGCCGCGACCCCCTCCCGGGGCCCCCACCCCGGAATCTGCGCCTGCCAGGCCCTTCCCCGAGCAACCCCCGGCCCCATCCATCCCCGCCGGGCGCGCTCATCCTGCCTCCAAGGGTAGCGCGCACCCCTCCCCCGGCAACGCAGCTAGCCCCCCGCCCCCCGCCCCCGGGCCGGCGCGGCGCCCCCAGCCCCTCCGCGGACGCCCGGGGGCGCTTACCTCGGAGCCGGGGCCGCGCGGACGCGCGGGCGGGAGCGCGAGGGCGCGAGGGCGCGGGGCGCGGGGCGCGGGGCGCGGGGGGGGCGCGGCGCGCACCTGTCCCGGCCGGGCCGGCTCAGCCGGGCATCCCGGCGCGGGGGAGGCGGCTGGGGCGGGGGGCTGGGGGCGCGCGCTCTCCCCGCCCCGGGCCGCGGCGCGCCGCTGGGGGAGGGGGTTCAGCCCCGGCCCCCCGCGCGCGGGCGTCGGCTGCGGGGGGCGCGCTGCGCGCCGGCGGCCGCCGGGCTCGGGGCGCGCCGCGGCCTCATCTCTGCGACTCGCGGCTCCGCGCACCCCCCCCCCCCGCACGCGACACCCCAACTCAGCGATCGCCGCCCCCCACCCCAAACCCACCCCCGGCGCCACCGCGAACACCCGCCACCCTAAAGCTGGGGCCGGAGCCGAGCAAAACCCGGCCTGGAGCCAGGGCGGCGCGGAGCGGAGGGCGGAGCCGGGTGGGCGGCCAGGAGGCGTGGGGGGTGGGGGGCACCCGAGCAACCTGCACCCCGCTTGCTGGAAGCCTCCTTGCTTCCCCTGCTCCAACCCCAGGCTTGCCTCCTTAGAGCCCTTTCCACGACTTAGGGCTACAATGAGGGGGGCCGCAGCAGAACACACACATTTTTCCAATCCGAGAACATGGCAATCACCAATGGCAGGATGGACTCCTTGAGGAAACTGAGGCAGAGAGAGTCAGTGGTGGCCAAGGTCACGCACTTAGGAAGTGGCTGAGGTGGGCATTGCACCTGCCGGTCGCAGAATGAGGTATCTTGGGGGCTAATGGGAATCCCAGACAACCCCACCCTCTGGCCGGGAGATCTTAGGCCAGCTTGTTCCTGCCTTCTGTTCCCCTGGGACCCAAGCACAGCCCCGTCAGGTATGGCTGTGCCTCCCATGACAGGGCCTCAGGTAGACAGCAGGAGCGCAGGAAGTGTGTGTTAGTATTATTAGTCTTATTATTAATGTTGGGCCACACCCACGATGCTCTGGGCTGACTCCAGGCTCTGCGCTCAGCCGTCACTGGTAGAGGGGGACGGGGGACCCTAGGGGATGCCAGGGACGAACCCAGGTCGGCCATGTGCAAGGCCAATGCCCGCCCCACTTGGCTATCACTCCTGCTTGCCATAAATGCCGTATTATTGGATTTTCGCCTGCAGACATTGCTTGCAGCCCTACTGTGTGCTGGAGCAAGGCTGCCCCTTTGGTTTTTAACCCTTTAACCACTCAGGGCCACCCTGGAGGGTCTCAGAGATGGCACAGAGAGGGCAAGAGTTTGTCCGAGGTGTCCACTTCACCCCCTCCAGGAGCCCTGCCAGGGGGGCTGGGCTGGGTCTCAGACAGGTCATGTGGCCCTTTTTTTTTTGCTTTTTGGGTCATGCCCAGAGATGCACAGGGGTCACTCCTGGCTCTGCACTCAGGAATTGCCCCTAGCGGTGCTCGGGGGACTATATGGGATTCTGGGGATTGAACCCAGGTCAGCAGTGTGCAAGGCAAACACCCTACTGGCTGTGCTATCGCTCCAGCCCGGGTCATGTGGCTTTCTCATAGTTACTGCAATAATACAACATGCCCCAATAACATACCTCAATAATTCTTTGGGGTCAGAAGTGGGGTGTGGGGCCAGAACGATTGGACAGAGGGGGGTGGCTTGCCTTGCATTTGGCCGCTCAGGTTTGATCCCCGCACCCCACAGGGCTCGCCACCAAGCACCTCCAGGAGTGATTCTCCTGAGTGCAGAGGCAGGAATAAATCCTGAACATCCCGGGGTGTGACCCCAAAACAAATGATAAATTAACGAATTAAAGATAGAAGTGGGGCACACTGGACCCCAGGCAACCTGACATTCGCATCTTGTCCCGGGCCTGGGCAGCTGCCCAGTGACCGCCCTGGTCCATGACCACAAACCTCCGCTGGCAGCCCTGTTTCCTGCCTGCGGTTTTGACCTCACCTGCTTTCCAGGGTGTGTGTGGGGGGGGGCGGGCCAGGCAAATGAGGTGGCTCCTGGACCCCTCCAGCGCCCACCTCCTGAGTCCCACCCAGCTGGGGGAAACTGAGGCAGGTGTCAGCTCTGAGGAGGGGTGTGGCTGAGTTTCCTGCTCATCCTGGGGGTCTCTCCCTGCACCTCCACGCCCAAAAGACTGTGCAGGAAGCCCTGAGCTTGGTTCCCTGCACGGCACCGCATTTCGACCTGAGCATCCTTCCGCTGAAGGTGGCCCTGGACCCCGCCCACCCGACTCCAGCCTTGCGCGGGAGCGAGACGCTCTCTCCCGCAAGGCTTTGTTTTTTGTTTTTGGGGGGACATATCCGGCAGTGCTCAGGGCTTACTCCTGGCTCTCTGCTCAGGAATCACTCCAGGCGGTGCTGGGGGACCCTATGGGTGCCAGGGATCAAACCCCGGGTCAGCCCGGTGCAAGGTAAACACCCTGCCTGCGGTGCTATCGCTCCTGCCCCCAGTAAAAGGGTTCTGCAGAGTTGGGGACGCAGCAAGAGAAACCCAAATGCTGCAGCTCCCCTGGAGAAAAAGTGCAGACACAGGCTGGCTCACCAGGAGGGCGTGGGGGTCAGAGAAGGGACCCCCAGATGGGTTAGAGGAAGCACTTGGGGTTCAGGTTGAGAAGGGCCCGGCAGGCAGTGGGATCAGCTTGGACAAAAGTCCGCAGAGCAGCTCCTCGCCCCCCAGGGTCACCTCAGCTGCCACCCAGGCTCCGAGCTGTGAAAGGGGGTCTTTCATGCCCCGGCGGGGGGCGGGGGCAAGGTCAGGCCGTGCGGGGCTCCCTCCGCCCCCCCCCCCAGGGGTGCGAATGTCTGAGCAGGGACTGGGGATGAGGAACAGGAAGTTCACAGCTGGCCCTGAGGGCCGAGGACCCCTGAGGTCAGCAGCCCCCGCATTCCCCACCAGGAGGGGGTTTCTCGGCATAGCCCGCCCCTTGGGCCTCAGTTTCCCGGCCTGCTCCCTGCACCTTGGGCACCGCTGCGCTCCCGGGCTCGATCCAGTGCGGGATTTGCGGGCGCCCGCGGCCCGCGACACTTGCCTCCCCGCTCGGCTCGGATCCGAGGGGGCCGCGGGGTACCCCGAGGGCCTTGGACTGGCGGGTGGGAGAGACTTGGGGGGGGGTAGGAAGCTGAGCCCGGCCTGCGGGAGGGGGCGTCCAAAAGCCGGCGGGATCGACCACCCCCCCATCCCCGCCGCCTGCGCCCCCGCATCCTCCAGGCTGGGCCACCCCCGCGGGTCTCTGTCTCGCTCTGGGCTCAGACGTGGGCAGCCGTCCCGAGTGACCGGCGGCCTGATCCCCATCCTCCCCCGCCCCGAAGTGGCGTGGGCCCCGCCTCAGTTTTCCCCGCGCCCGGGATGCGCGCGGGGTGGGGTGCGCTGGGTCACGGCCGGGTCGCGCCCGGGCTCGGGGATCCGGCCTGGGAATCCCCTGGGGGCTCGGGGAGGGCGGCTCCGATTGGCTGCGGACGCCAGTGACGTCAGGGCCTCCCCGACGCCCCCTCCCCAGAGGCCGGCGGCGGCGGCCGGAGAGAGGCCCCGTGTCCCTTCCGGCGGGTTGGGGTGTCCCTGCAGCCGGAGCCGGCAGCTGGGCCGCGAGGACAGACTTTTCCCCCTCGAGTCCCAAATCCTCTTCGCCGCGCCCCCCACCCCACCCCTGCGCGGCAGCTGCTCCGGCGACAGATGCTAAATCCGCGCAGCTGGTCCCTCCGCTGATCTGACCGCCCGTGTGTGTGTGTGTGTGTGTGTGTGTGTGTGTGTGTGTGTGTGTGTGGCGGGAACGGGGGTTGGGTAAGGGTCTGCGCGGTGTGACCCTAACCCGCCTCCCTCGCCCTGACCTCTGATCCCTGTCTCTTGAGGAGGGTAGTGGAGGGTGGGCACCCTTAGTCTCTCCCCCACCCGCACTCCGGAATGCAGAACTCTTCTGGGAGTACTAGGAAAAACCCAGAGCCCAGAGAGGGTGAGCCACTTTCTAAAAGCCACACAGCGTGGCTGGAGCACAGCGGGGAGGGAGTTTGCCTTGCAACACGGTGGAACCAGGTTCAGTTCCCAGCATCCCATAGGGTCCCCGAGCACTGCCAGGAGTAATTCCTGAGTGCAGAGCCAGGAGTAACCCCTGTGCATCACCAGTGTGACCCAAAAAGCCAAAATAAATGAATAAATAAAATAAAATAAATAAAAGCCACACAGCGCATCCAGAATTCTGCCTGGAACAAGTCGACAAATACACACAAGTGTTTGGTGCTCAGTGCTGACTCCTGACTCAGTGTTCTGAGGCCACTCCTGGCAGGACTCAGGGGATCTTTTGCAGTGGTGTTGGGGAAGGAACCAGGGTTGGCCGCGTGAGGCTGACCTTCCCCGGGGTCCCGGCTTCTTTTACTGTCATTTCATTTTCAGATGGGCCCACCAGGACACCTCCAGACCTGTCCTGGATCCCTTCCTCCTGTCTTCCACCTTTCAACAGGACTGTTCCCTTCCTCCCAGTCCCCTGCTCCCCCATCCACTGCCGTAGAGCAGCTCCTTTCTTCCCTCATCCCCCTGCTTCTTTTTGTTTATTTGTTTGGGTTTGGGGGCTGCACCCCCACGAGGCTCAGGGCTGACTCCTGGCTCTGGACTCAGGAATTACTCCTGGCTCGGGGAACCCTGTGGGATGCCGGGGATCGAACCCGGGTCGGCCGCGTGCAAGGCAAGTGCCCCCCCCCACTAGACTATCGCTCCTGCCCTTTTGGGTTTTTTTTTAGGAGTGGCAGAGGCTTGGACCACATTTTGCAGCCCTCAGGATCTACTAAGTCCCAGCTCAGGGGTTGCTCCTGGCAGTGCTCGGGGCTCTGAACTGAGCCTCCAGTGCTCCAAGGATGCGCTCAACCCTTGGACCGGCTCCTCCACCTGCCTGCTTTCCTGTCCCCGACTTCCTCGTGTTTGAGTCCCTGGTGGGTGGGTGGGTGGGTGGGTGGGGTGGAGGGAGGTGGGGGAAGGAGCTGCCTGTCCCCAGAGGCAAGCAAGGTGAAGGTGAGTGGCTCTGCTCTCTGCCCGGCTCGGGACAAGCTGCTTAGAGAGCAGACGTTTCTCAGGCTGGCCAGGGCACGGAAAACGCTTGCCTTGCAT